AATAATAATTCATGCAATAGAGGGTTGACTGTTCATACAGTTTTCTATTTAACTAAAACATACACAGGTGTCAGGGGGTTGTATCCACCTCCTGCATCCTGCAAAGGCAGATGAGTGACATTAATGCAATCATTGTTCCTTTCTCATTGACTGCCTAAAGCTCATTTGTAGTCAGTATGATCTCTTCCTGGGGTTATTTTCATATTTGCTCCTAGCTGTAGGAATACAGTGCAGACTCAACTGCCAGCACTTTCTCATTCCATAAAAATATAGATGGTTAAACTTATTTCAGTCTAGCTGCACCTCAGTGAGCTCTCTGCTAGTTCTCTCTCTCGGTAGCTTACCACACAATCTGAGATGTGGAAAATGGAAAGATGTTACGACAAGCCACTCCAAGCTTTTTACATTATGTGCAGTTTCTCACTGAATCAGTACACTGAATGTACTCTGCAAGAAGAGGAATGTTTCTTGGTCCACTTCAGCCTTATTAAGTCACATGAGTAACAGCTACTCTTTTTCAGAAATCAGACTTTGTTAGTAGGGGGCACTTGCAGATGTTAAAAGAACAAGAGCCAGTAAAAAGCTAAAAATGAATACTAATTTGTGGTGTGCTGATAATGAATGAATCGGCTAATCAAGATCTGGTTTTCAGCACTTGCCACTTTGTTTTTTTAAGCAGTGCTTAAAGGAGTGTTGGAGGAGGAGAAAAACTTTGCCCCATATTTAATTTCCTTAAACTAGTACCTTTCAAAACACAAGCCTATATTCTATTCAAGATATCACATGATGTTTTAATTGCTCTGATTTTATCTGCAGTGTCATAACATGTAGAGGAAATAGTGAAAGCTCTTTTTACTTTATGTTTTTTACTTCTTTAGCATTGCGCTGCACCCTCCTCATTATCTGATATTTCTCCAGCTAGACCTTCTGAACAGAGCTCGTGGATGTCTTTTGCTGGACAACAGCGACATTCATGAAAGAATTTAAAGAAAAAAAATTGTGTGATAGTAGAACTGTAACACAGAAACAGGAAACTTATTTATATTGAAGGCACTCATACTAAATTTTCAAGTACACTTGAGTTAACTTCACTGAAGACTACCAAAAAGTGGCCTATCCACATCTTTGGCTGTCTCCATCTTGAGAGGCTCCCATCAAATTACCAGCCATTCCAAATCAGTGTGCATTGTGTACCATAGCAACAACCCTGATGCTTTATTCTATATTACCAGATAGATCACACAGGTAAAACTAACTAAGCCATGGGTTGAACTGTGAATAACAATATCTATATTCATAGATCATACTTCCTTGTGTTGAGACCAGATGCTTTTAGGCAATGATGAATCAGTGTCTAATGATAAGGCTGGAGCTAAACTATATTTGTCTAACTGTCAACAAATTATTGAATTCCTATTGAATGATAACTGACCAAAACCAATAATGAATGTATCTTACTAACCAGTATGGTCTGTGTATTCAAATCGTGATATACTATCTCCTTCCTCTGTGGTACAGAGCTCCACTGTTAAGCAAAAACAGTTAAAACACACCAATGAGCCACTGTTGCACTGGGTGATTTGTTCCCTCATTTTGATTAACATGTATTTTATTTTGACTAAATAATCCCACATACTTTGTCCTAGTGCTTTATACTGCTAGAGTAACTGTAAAGATTAAACTATGTATTTGTAAGCTATTTTTGTTTAGGGCCACAGTGCCAAGTCAGGGTCAGGAAGGTGTAAAATACAGAGAAGTGGAAAAATGCATTGCTGTCAGTAATCAGTAATCAATTATGAACAGATATGAATGTGGTGTTTTGATATAGTTCAGTTTGTACATTTGTATATCTCTTTGGACAAAAGCGTCTGCCAAATGAATTAACTGAAATGTAAATGTAATGTGCAGTATGTATATGTCTGATTAAGGTTTATCATTCACTCACAGTGTATTATGGATTATAAACATTCATTATTAATGACAATCTGCATCCATGAGAAAACTGTACTTGAGAAAACATGCAGGGAAAGAACTGAAAAAAATGTAAATATGTTATGTATATATTCTTTGTGAAACGCATACATTCTGTCTGCAGACCTTGAGTTAGTACTGGTTTCAAGTGTTCTTACCAGCTTTCTTTGGTGTTCGGGTGAAGGTTCCTTTAACGGTGCGGCAGTGGGAGTTGTCCCCACCACAAACGCCACATTTGTCCTCAACTTTGTTAGAGCCAATCTCTCTGTCGCAGCCAACTTTCTGGTGACCAAGAAAACATAAAAATATATATATAACAGATGAGCTGACATTCTTTTTGGTCTTGGAACTGTAACATTCACAAGGTTTTAATGAGAATCCGACCTGTAGGAATCGGATTATCAGTGCTGAGTGCGCAGTCAGAGTAGTCATGCCCTCACACATTTATGCCATTTAGACACATTGAGTGAATCTCGTGGTCAGATCAGTCAAAGATGTGATGTTTTTGGTATGGCTTGTTTGGAGGGTTTGTCTGTTGGGCAGCAGGATATCTCAAAAACGTGTACATGAAAAAAAGCTGCAACAGCAATGACATGTATCTACTTGAGATTCTGAGACTCTGCTTTAATTAATTTATGTTGTTAAGGGGTCTTGGGACACATTAATAGTAATGAATCAAAACATTATGAAAAACCTTCTCCTGTATAATAATGATGCTTCTAAACCAGCTGTGAGCAAGCAGCACGTTCAAAGTTAAATC